TTTCTTTCTTTCTTTCTTTCTTTCTTTCTTTCTTTCTTTCTTGGCTTCTTTCTTTCTTTCGTAACTCCCCCTGAAGCGGGTCGTGCCGCGGAGCAGAATTCGCACCCGCAGCACTCTAGCATCCCTCAAACGCTTTTGCAGCCTGGCTTCTCCGGTGTCGCTGGTCGCTGGCAGGGGAGCAACAAACAGCCCTCCGCCAGCCCGGCTTTCCAGCCCAAACTGCAGCTTTTGCTGGAGTCTGAGAAGAAAGGCTGCTTCCCCCCCCACACCCCGTTTTTATTGAGTCTTGTCCTTAGAGTGGTAATTGACAACTTTCACTTTGCTCTGAAAGGGTCAGCTGTTGAGACTGGCAGCTACCTATGGATCTTTTCAGGGAAGGTCAGCTGAACTTGAATAAGTTGTTAGTTGTTTTCTAAGTAGCTCTCGATGCTTTTGCAGTTCAACTTTTCTGGCAAGCAGGTGAAAAAGAGGTCTTGTGTGGTGGGTCTTTGCCTGGTGAGCTGCCCCATGGGGTGTATGTTTATTTAAGACATTATTTTGTTTATATTTGAAAGGGTAACTAATAGCCCAGGTTAAACTAAGTGTAATTTAGTGTAAGAGGAGGGATGCTGAGCGCTAGAATTAGTGCTCACAGTACATTCGTATCTTCCTTTGGGGTGTGTTTGGAAATACCTTTAAAGCAGATTTAAATGAGGGAACTCCAGGTTGTTTGCCTGAAATAGCATTGGCCTTACGCTGTCAGGATAGAACGCAGTTGCTCTTCAATCTATGATGTGTCTTCTTAAAATGAAGAGTAGAATGGGGGAGATTAAGAACAAAGGGAATATGGTAAAATATTGAAAGGATTCCAAACTCAAAAATATTGAAGTTTGTTTATCTAGAGTATATGCAGCCAGAATATTATATTGTCAGTCTATATAATACTGAACTACATTTTGTTACTATTGCCCTTCTCTACCTGATTGACCTAGAAATTACAGCTTGTATTTTTAGATAATTTTTTTCTAGAACAATGCTTCACAATAGAGGGAAAAGCCTACTTTTTTCTTTAAATACTGAGATGTGTAGCTAATGTTTGTTCTCATTTTCATTGCTGTGTCTCTGATTTTGCAAATCATTTGGGCTTGGTAAGGTTGTTGCCCAAATTTTTATCAGGACCATGGGAGCCCATCATTGAATCTGCCAGCCCATCATTTAAGCACCCTCGCTTACTCATTGTTTTACTGTGTACAGTTTGATGGGCTGGCAGATTCAACTGCTGACAGCTTCATCATATTTTCAATTTGAAAAGCAAACCTGGTAACAAACAAAGCAACAGGAATGGAATAACTGTAGACAAGAATGGAGCGATCCACAGTTAGCTTCACGGTGGTTATGGGGTGCGTATGTTCATGCGCATTAGGTTGGAAATCTGAAGAGATTTAACATGCTTGAACTTATGTTTAGTATTTGTTTTAGAATAAGTCCAGTTGTGTCCAGTGTTTCTTCTTCTTAAATAGAAGAAGAAATAGAAGTTGTGGAGAAGAAGCAACGGGGCTGGCTTCCATAAAACATATTTGGAATTGGGGTTTAGCCCAGTTCTATGCATGATGATTCAGAAGTCAGGCTAACTGGTTTCTATGGGGTGTCCCTCCTAATGGGTGTTTAGAATTAAAGACTGAAAATAATTTAATGTATCAAGTATGTTGAAACTGTAATTTAACAGCTGCTTTTATCCTAATTGGCCTTTTAAAATGTTACTGCCTGAACATAAGTGGCCAAATTTACCTTAAAAGCGTTCTTATTTCTAAAAACAATATTCCATTGGATTTGTGTTTAAAACTGCTTTTGTAATAACTTTATGGGATTGCTACAGTACTTATTTGAAATGGGGTCCTCCTCTTATTGAAGAAATATGCTATATGCTCTGGTCCTTTACATAGAAGTAAGTATAATTAAAGTCAGCGAAGCATTATAGTTATCCAAGGATGCATAGGATCACCAGCATTTTACCTCATGGCGCCTCATACTTCGAACTTAATTCGTTTCAGGAGGCTGTTTGAACTCTGAATCGTTTGAAGTCCGAAGCAGTGTTCCCCATTGGAAATAATGGAAAGTGAATTAATCTGTTCCCAGACCCCAAACAATACCCATCTTGACAAACTTAAAGAGCAAATACATATAATTAAAGATAAAAAATGAAATATGTAAATATGTATGGTACCGTATACTCAAATGTTAATTGCTTTTACTATCTAAATTTTTTAATGAGGAGTGGTGAAGCAGAAAAGAATCGAAAAGGCAGTGAGAACGATCGAGAAGGCAGGCAGTTAAAAGGCAGTGAGAACCATCGGGAAGGCAGGCAGTTAAAAGGCAGTGAGAATGATCAGGAAGGCAGTCACCGAAAAGGCACTGGAAAGGATCGAAAGGCATGCGATGAAAAGGCACAGACCCAAGAGAGCCTTTCCCAGTGAGAGACGATTTGGGCGCACAACTGATGATGTTTACGCAGCACAACTGATGATGTTTACGCAGCAGCCACACTTTTTCCACTGTGAACACACTTAGAAGCATTGCGCAAACTTTGAAGAGATTTTAATCTCAACTGTAACATTCAAACACTGGCTTGTTCGAATTTAGAGTCGTTCGAACTACAAGGCACCTACGATGTACTATATAAATCAATTGGCGTCTCTCAACCTTGGTAAAGTTTTTCATTGCACTGATACTGAGCATATGGAAACAAAGGGCAGCCATGCTGCAGTTGCTAATTCCAAGTGCTTTAGGTTTTTTCTATGCAACCAAGCATATGGTTTCTGCCACCATGGAGAAAACACACTAATGGATTCTTGACTTGAGCAGCAAAATAAAAAACTTGTATATTCTTCTGATCTTAATTTGTGCTACATTTGTGTGTGAGCCAATGCTTTTGTTACTAGGAATTAACTATTTGTGATAATTTGTTTCAACAGTTCACTTAAATACAGTATTGTTAACAAATATGAAATGATTAGTATGACATACAATGGAAATGGTTTGTAAATACTAATTTGCTGCTGCTGTTATTTTTTTAAATGACAGCAGTTACTATTTACCTATAGGCTAAGCTTTGTAAAGGTTAAAGCTACTCTAGATTGATTTCTAAATACCACAGATCTCTAATAGAAAATTCATTTCCCAGTTCTCACAAAGTTTGTATTGGGCTCCTTTATGTTTGGAACTCTGGATGGTATCCAGCAGGTTTGTGTCAATCTAGGGTTATTAAAATATGGGAGTAATGCTATTAACTTCAGTAAAACAATAAAGTGATCTTAGCTGGTATTACTAAGCAGATAATAAAACATGATGTTGCTTTGTCAAAGCAACTTTTTAACAAGCTTAATATGATGAAAATGCAGCATGCTGTAGGAAGATGAGCAGGAATAATCATGATCTAAGAATGTTTAGGACCTGATTATTTTTAAGCGTTTTAATATTATCATGTTTAAATATGGAGATATGTGCATAGTTACTGGCTTTGAACAAAAAGATTCAAGGTTGTGGAATAACATTTTACCAGTATCTTCTCCATTGGGAATTACAATTAAGAGTGTGTTGGAATTCTTTCTTCCACCGCACCTTTTGCTGTTGAAGCACAGTGCTTTTTCTAATACTGATTGCAATCTCAAAATCGGTGTGACTGACTGATTTGCTACATTATGTTTTTTCACTTGTGGATTCATAGCTTTGCCATCAATACCATTAATTCTCAGATGGATCTCTCTCCCCCATCCCAGCCCACACAAATCACTTCTTTTTTCTTTGAGAATATGATATCTTTAAAAGATCATATTGATCTATTGCATAATCACCGCAGCCCCCAGGGGCTTATTTTAGCAGTGATGGGTTGTGATATTTGTTGGGCAAAATTGGACTATAAGCTGCAGCCTGCTTGTTGTATCATCCGAACCTGGTGAAGCTGGATTGCTGCTTTTGTTGGCAAACCAGTGAAAACCCATGTGCTTTTTTAACATTGTTGATGGTTTATCACTGAAGCCAGCAAACCACCTCACTGGGTTCAGACATCATGACAAGCTGATTTCAGCTTGAATATTCAGAATGTCTGTTCTTCTGTGCCACAGCCCAACAGGACCTAAATAAAGCCATGCTGGGCTTTTGATTATGCAAATTAGCCTATTGTGTTGTTTATATGACATGAAATGAAGATATTTCTATTAAATAAGTGATAAT